AAGTCCTGACAAGCTGGCAGAAACCAGCTCATGCATCTTCCACGACAGCCTATAGATTTCCTATTGATAATAAATTTTCACAGTGGAGAAATCTGTACTATTTGTGGAATGGTTTGCATATACTCCATGTGAACAGAAGCAAGGGCAGCTACATGGAAGCCGTGGAATCAGACCAGCATGCAAAGGCTGACACTTTAATGGCAGCACTGAGGATTTAATAGAATGGATCCTATCATGGAAAGATGAGTTCTTAGGACAGGGTATTGTCTGCACGATTGTTCTGCTTCTTAAGACCTGAGCTGGAATGACAAGGTAGGATTCCTACTTACCCGTGATTCATAAGGATAAGACTCACTGGTGTCCAAACCTCCATTGTCCATCACATACTGGAAAGCATTTTGCATCAAGCCACCATGACAGCCAATGTTGCCATGTGACCAGGAGCAGTCCACTAGGTTCTGTTCACTCAGAGGGACCAGTTTCCCTGTTTTCCAGAACATTTGTCCCACTAAGGAACCAACAGCGCTAAATGCCCAACAAGCACCACAACTACCCTAAAAAGAAAGAAAAAGCTGTCACCTACAAAATTAATACAGAAATTGATACAGACATTTGATAGCAATTTGCACAATATAATAATTTCATGTTGAAGTGTCTGCAGATCCACAGTTAGTGAGACAAGGAAGACATTTCCTTCCAAGCTTCCTATTGGACGATGATACCGAGAATGTGACAAGTCCTACCTGGTCTTTCACAGGAGTCACATAGCCATGCTTTCTCCAATCCACAGACTTGGGGACATCACCCAGCCGAGGCTCCTGGAATACGTTCATCTCTGTGGTTCCCATGCTTTGAAAGCCAGTCATTAATTGCCTGAATTCTGTATTGGTCTTCAAGAAAAATTAGACAAATCATTGCAAAGGGAGAGACGACTCACAAAGAACTGAAGAGAAGAAATCATGTTCTGTAATCCATGTCACACTCACCAAGTCACCAAAGGCGTTCATCTCCAAGTGGAAGCCATGCTTCCCCTTAGTGTAGTCCTCATTATGCAGCTCGATCATTTTCCTGTTGTTCTCCCACACTGCTCTCTTCTGCCCTTCTTCATCCTGGAATAAATCCAGTGTGTGGTCATTCTACTACATTAAGCCCAACCCTCGCTCCCTTAGTGGACCTGCTGCTACAGATGGTGAGAATCAAGAGAAGCTGTACACCTCTGGAAGCCACGATCCAGACCCCTTGTCGACGATAGGGTGGTTTGCATCAGTGCTCATATATGGTGATCATGCTAGGGAGTAACTGGATTTCATGATGTCAACTCCATATAAAATTTCCACAGCAAGGACCATTATCTCTGTGTTGCCTCTGGGTAGTGTTTATGGCACCAACCATGACGTATGTTTTCCCATGCTGTGTCTTCCATTCATGCCACTCAGCATCCAAACTGGGATCATGGGTTGGAGCAGCTGAGACCACCCCTAAGCAAAGAGTGGCCAAGAATAAAATAGGAATCATGCTCGCAGAACCTAGAGATGGAGAAAAAAATTGAGATTCTGATGGCATCAGTGCTTCAATAAAACTTCCTATTTCTACCTCAGAAACTCAGGTTGCCCCATGGAATGAAATTCCTCAAACCCTACACCAATGATTTACCCTTGGTGAAAAGACCAAGGATGCATTTGTTTTCTAGCACAGATGTAGAGGCATTCCATCAATAAAAAAAATGAGAATTGCCCAGGCTCCAGGGTTTGGAGTGTATATGCACTGTGCACTTAGCTCATCACTCTAGATACATCTATTGGTCCAGAAGCTTAAAGCAACAGTTAACCTCTTAAGACATGGTTGTCTCAGGTTTTGTGCCGTTTTTTTTTTAATTGAGGCCAGGTAAGTTAAACAAGACTTATGCACACTGTGATCCATAGCACATACAAAGAAATCTGCATGAGCTGAGGGTACCAGACATCTTTCCTCTTGGCCAGTGAACACTTGGAGAGCCACTATGCCTTGGCTTCTCCCCCTCTTAAACTTTTCTGGGATGTCTTCCCTGGAAAATCTTTCAAGGATAACAGCTAGGGATATGTCTTCCTCATAACTGGGATGAACCTTTAGAACCCCATCTCATTGTCTCAATGAGGACCAGTCACAAGGCTAAGTCATTGGTCTTAGACTTATGAGACCTGGCAGAGCCTCCTGTATATATGAGACTGAAGGCTCAAGTCTTAATAAGATTTTGATGCAACATGTGATATAGGGCAATTGACAAAAGGCATGCCAAATGTTTACCTCCCCAATCTGCCATGGTAGACCTGTGGATTATTTTGGCAGCAATGCACCTAATGATGTTTTCTGTTACTACTGGACTTATACCCATGGCAGCTACAGTTTGGGGGACAAGATGGCACCTCCTGTGCTCTGGCCTTGACTTTCAACTTACACAGACACCGAACAACATAGGATCCCTGAAATGTTGGCTGACATTTGAGAACCCTATTGATCCTACTCTGTACCTTTACACCAAAGTCTACCCAGGTTGAGTTGACATTCTCATTTCTGAGGGGGCTACATTGAGCTTCTCCCTAGGGAGTCTCTCTAGGGTGCTCCTCCATGGCAGTTCCAAGTCTGTCTTGGGAGAGCTTTGGGGCTCACCTGGGATGTCCACAGTTGGGCAGGTGTTCTTCACAGTCTCAGGCCTTCAGAGGTTGCTGAGATCCCAGGCTCTGTTCAAGCTGCATGTGGATTCAGGCTTTAAATCCCAAATCTGTGGCTCCAGGACAGAGTTCCTGTCCACTTACTCCTCCCTGAATGACTGGCTGGGCAATTGGACTGGACCTCCAGGCTGTGGGACTTTAGACACACACTGACATTGATGTCCACCCTGTCCTGGGGCATTAGTTGTGGGCTGCCTTTGTGGACTGTGAGGAAGAGAGCAGTGGGCCCTTGCTTCAGGAAATTACAGTGTGTGAGTCTAGTGACATTTGCTGAGAAAGTGCTCTCTCTGACAGAGGGCTTAGCAATTGGCTCAGGGAAGAAGGTTCTAGCTAACTGTGTGTGGATTTCCAACAAAACCCTGCTTTCTATTAGAATTAGAGATTTTAACAAAATCCTTACCAGTTGGGCCCATGAGCAGTTAGTTAAATTCTAGCCCAGTGTTTCTGCTTAGTCCACAGCTAAGGTGGGTCTCCTGGTGCTTACAGACTCTGAGATCATTCTCCCAGTGTCAGGGAGGATGGCAACTGGGTTACTAAGAATCTTTAGGGGAAGGCAATCCCCAAACATGGAGGTCACAGGAGATACTGAAGTGGGGAGGGAGGGTTGGAGATGTGTAGATAACAGTCCTCCTGTATGAACTCCTCAACAGTGAGGTAAGGCACTATGTAGCTTTCCAGAGTTTGGTGGCACCTGTGGGTTGTTTGTGTGGTGTCACGGTGGGTGCCTCCATACTGGGAAGATGCCAGGTAGGAGACACCTTGAGAAGAAAAGCTTGGTTTGAGAGTGTGGTCTCTGGAGAACCCAGTGTTGGTTTTGAAAAGGTGGCAGGCAGGACACTCAGCACAGGAGCTGCGTGCACACTGGGTGTCAGTGATGGGCTCTGTAGAAAGCTTGAGTGTGCTCCTCAGTCACGTGCTGGGCTGTCAGCAGTGAGCAGCAGGATCTTGTCACTCATGTCTTCCTTCTCTTCTGCCTCTGTCTTGTGAGAAATGATAGGAAGAAGGAGACTCCACAGGGCAAGGGGCAGTGTGGACGCAGGATGGTGACTGTGGGGAAAAATGGTCTTGATCAACTTCAATTTCCATTTGAGATCTCTAGACACATTAACTAAAACCCATCACAAAATCACCTCCCCAAGGAACTCCTGCTGAATGTTTGTTCTGGAATTCCTTCCCGGGACATTCACATTTCCCATTCTTTCAATGCGTGGAATCTTTTCTGCACTCCAGGAATTCCCTATGTCTTCTAAGCATGGTCAATTTCTGGCCAATGGCCTTATAAGAAGTTTCTGAAAAATTTGGTACTGTGTATAAATAAGTCCTTTAAATATGGCATCTGGTGACACTGGGGAGCACAGGGGAGACCT